GAGAGAGAGAGAGAGAGAGAGAGAGAGAGAGAGAGATGTTTGAACGGGTGTTGCTTCGTGGGTCAAGGGGTTTACATATCTTTGCAGCATTTTTTTTCTTCTCAAAATGGGTACATTTATAGAGAAATAGAAATACGAACTTAAAAAGCCAATGCGTCAAACCCTGAAAAATTATAACATTTACAGAGATGGCCTTCCATAGAAAACTGCATCTCCCTCGACGCTTAACGGCAAATGAGGATAACAATTTTAAAGTAAAAGTAAGTAAAACATTGGTGTTGGATTTTTCAAGCTCCTTTATAAAGACACGAATCTAACTAAATCTAGTTGTAAGCCGAGAAACTGGAAACAGCCTTATTTCTTTGTCACCTCATTTCCTAAGTTACTTGTTCTGTGGGTCGTTACATTTTCAGTTTTGGATTTTATTCATACACTTTTGTGAATGCTTAGTTGTAACCATCAAAATAGGATTTTACAACATGGGTATCCCGTTCTACAAGCAGCACTCTCTGCAATAACTTAACTCAATTCAAATCTAATTGTAATTTGAGGAGATGGAAACAGCCTTATTTCAATAACGTCTTTATTTCTAAAGTGACTTTATCTGTCGGCCGGCACACTGATCATCATCTATTTATTTTTGTGCATGCCTAGTTGTAACAACCAACAGATTACAGGGTTTTAAAACGTGAGTTTGCAATTTTAGCAACACCTTTGTACTGACCAAACTCTATAGAAATCTAGTTGTAATCTGAGAAGGTGATAAGAGCCTTATTTCTTTATTTCGTAAGTAGCTTGTTCTGTCGGTCGTTACACCATTTTGTAGTTATCACCTATTTATTTCGTGTATGCCTAGTTGTTGTAGCAAATAACAGATAATAACGTTTTACAACTTGGGTGTGCAATTTTACACGCTCATATATGTCATTCCATCGCTCATGATTTTTAACGATTGGATGGGGAATTGATCAAATGTGTCATGACGCGGTAGAATTAGGTAGTCGACAATTTGTTAATGCAAATAGAGTTATTTATATAATCTGCTTTTTATGAAAAATAATCTCATCTATCTGGAATAAAAGTAGATTTATTTGCAATTTAAAGGGGTCGGGGTCGCCTGGTGTCAGAGTGGAAATTACCGAGAAAATGGCCGTCAGTGTTTGGCATGGTGACTTCCAAAGCTTCCGTATCCTTGGAAACTGTATGTTTATATTTTTTGTTCCTTTCGTCAACATTTTTTCCAGTAAAGTTTATACAGAAATGTGTTGTCAATGGACGAAAAAAGAAAATTATACCAAAAAAATCTCCCAACTTTTTAAAGATACCGATGTCCTTGATTTCATTATTTTGACGAACGCCTAATTTCCCCAGGATGCCAAACATGTGATTATGTATTCGTGTTTCATCTTGGTGAAATCAGGCCCTCGTCAAAATACCTGAATCAAAGACACCGACGTAATATTTCCTCTGTTGGGCAAATTTCATTCCCCCCCC